GTTTTTTTTTTTTTTTTTTTGGACCAGGGATTGAACTCAGGACCTTGTGCTTTTGAGGCAAGCGATGGAACCACTGAGCTAAGTCCCCGGCCCCTCAGATTTTAGATTTGTTGGTACTGAAATCTTACCTACGTTCAGAAAGTCAGGGAGTCAGATGTTTTAACCAACAACAGAAAAAAAAAGTTTTGATTTCTACATTTTCATCCTTTTTGTTTTTTCCGGTACTTCAGGGCCTTCACACTGAACCACATCCCCGGCCCTTTTCATTTTTTTATTTTGAGTCAGAATCTCACTAAATCACTAAATTGCCCAGGCTGGGCTTGAACTTGTAATCCTCCTGCCTCAGCCTCCCAGACTGCTGGGATGACGCAATGTCTGGCTCATTTTTATCTCCAGGCCCTGAAGCAAGAAATATATATTACATTGGGCCCCATAAACACATGCATGAAATGGAAACAGATTTTATACAATAATTAACTTTTGCACAACACATTCTGATATATTTGTTTTAGTTTTAATTTGTTTTTAAAATAGGAGCCATCTAAATGCTTTTATGACCCACTAACGGGTTGCATGGTGTTATGTCTGGTCCTCTAATTCTCGAGGCCTGGGAAAAGCACAGAGACAAAGTGGGGCAATGGAGGAAGCCTTCAGTTTCTATCAGAAGGAAACGCCCCTCAGGAGCTGCCCACAAGTGCACTGTACCAGGATGGCTTTTACTGTCTGTGTTTTACTTTACAGTGCACGGATAGAGTAGAGTTTCCTGAGCCCTAGGGGTGCAGTTCAGTGATGGGATGCTCACCTAGCATAAATCAATGAATAAATAAAATTTCACCACCCCACCACCAGCACAGGAGACTGAATTCAGCATCTTTACACTGAGCTGCAATCCCTAGCTTTGTTGTTGTTGTTATGAGGAATTGAACTCAGGACCTTGCATTTGTGAGGCAGGTGGTGGAACCACTGAGCTAAATCCCCAGCCTCCAGCCTTTTACATTGCTCAGGCTGGGCTCAAACTTTCCGTTCTCCTTCCTCAGCCTCCCAGGATGCTGGGTTTGTAGGTGTGTGCCACCATACCTGGCTCTCCCAAATTAGTTTTTTACATTTTTCTTTTTTGAGACAGTGTCTCACTCTTTAGTTCAGGCTGGCCTCAGACTCACAGTGATCCTCCTGCCTCAGCCTCCTGAGGGCTGGGATTACAGCCCTGTGCCACCACACCCAGCTCCAAATTATTTTTTTTAAAGAAAGGGCTGGACTATAGCTCGGTGACAGAGCCTTTGCTTAGCATGTGTGAGGCCCTGCGTTCGACCCCAGCACTTCTTGACAGGGTTTCACAAGTGGAAGGATAGGTGTGTGGAAACTGCTGAGGTCCACCCTGTTTCTCCTACCTGGGCTGGGTCGCTCTCTAATCTAGCACAGGTTGTTTAGCACCTGCAGTACTTCTACCATGTCCTGCTAAGAACCCCAACTCGGCCCATAGCCAAGGCTTTACCCACCTCCTCGCTGACCGCTGACCCCCGGGAGTGTCCAGCCTGGAGCAAAGGGAGAAAAAGAACTGTGAGTGACTGGCGCCTGGTACCCCATGACTGCTGTGGTGGTCCAGGTCCTGCCGGAGCCAGGGTCCAAGGCTGCGCCCTCCCACCCCTCAGGGCCTGTTGCACTAAGGTGCCCGGCCTCACCCTGCACCCCTGCTTTCCTGTAGCTCCCCGAAAGCCTGCATCCTCAGTCTCCACCTGGCAGGAAGAGGGGGATTTCTTCAGTGTCCCAGGCTAAGCTCTGCAGCGAAGCCTCTGCCTGGCGCAGCTCTGTGACATCTGCGAGTGTGGTTTTCTTCGTGGGCAGGGTGTGTGCTTCCAGGGTGCGGGTGAACACGCCTGCGTGCGGGCCTGGGTCTGTGTGCACGCCCCGCCACTTCCCTTTGGGATTTAACCCGTCGTTCCTGGTGGGTGGTCTGAGTGTTAGCTCCTCCCTCATGTTTCCTGTGTGTTCACATGTGTGATTCACATGTGTGGCCCCTGTGCCACGTGTGTCTTGGCTCCCTCTCATGTCACAGCCCTCAGATGAACTGGACCTGCAGCCCGGTTCTTTCCCTCTGAGCCGAGCCTGTTCCTTCCTCCTGTCTGTGGCAGCTGACAGCTCAGTACCGGCCGTCTCCCCTGCCCCCACCTCCGCCCCTTCTTGCACAAAGGCCAGGACTCACCGGCAGGGACGAGGAGCAAGGTGAGGAGCAGCAGCAATGCCCTGGGCCCCGAGAGCAGCATCTGAAGGGGGCAGGAGAGGCAGGAGGCTGTGACCCCAGGCTGGGCCCTGTCTCTGTGCTCCCAGGAGCCTTCCTGGCTGCTGCTTATGACTCCGACCCTGTCTTTTTTAATATATTTCATTCAACATGTATTCCTCCCTCAAATCTAACCTTTGGTCACTTACCATTCGTCTCACTCTTTTCTACCAAATCAGAGGGTCTCACTGCTTCCCAGGTTTACCTCAAACTCCTGGGTTCAAGCAATCTTCCTGCCTCAGCCTCCTGAGTACCTGATTACAGCATGCACCATCCTCACACCTGCATTCAGAGGGATGTTGGTATTTGAAACAGTTTGTTCCTGGCCCTGCCTGCTGGCCTCTTCACCCCAATGGCCTTCCTGTCAGGAATCTGTATCTTTTGACAGTGCCCACTTCATCTGGCTGATTCACTTGAACTCCAGGGCTAATCCGACCCGGGTCCACCCTGCACAGCTCTGAGTTAGGGGACCTTCCTCAGTGTGTGCTTTGCTGCACACGCAGGCACACGCCCTGTCTGTCGGGGTTTTATGATCAAACCACTCACCTCTCCGCACCCTGCTCTTTGCCCCATGTCCTCTGCTGCTGACCACGCCGCTGTCCTCCGCTCCGGCTGCTGTCTGGCTGGGACCGCCAGAGCCGAGCCCCGCCCTGGGCAGGACTTGGGGCTTGGCCTCCTCTGCAGCAGAGACGGGAGCGAGCCAGGCCGGAGCAGCGCGGGGTGCAGTGTTAGAGCAAGGCAGGGCCGGAGAAGCGGAATGCACAGCCCTCACGCCCCCTTCCCCGGGGCTACCACCCTGGGGGTGCACCCGGCTGCCAGCCCTTCCCTGGCCAGCCTGGCCCAGCCTTTGGGCTCCTTCTCACCTCAAGGGTCCCCTCTCCTTTAGAGTGTGGTCCTTCACCAGGCTTTGTTCCTGGCTTTCTTCCTTTTTTTTTTTTTTTTTTTTGAGGCAAGGTCTTGCTTGGTAATCCAGGCTGGTGTTGAACTTGTGGTGATCCTCCTGCCTCAGCCTCTCAAATGCTGGGATTACAGGAGTGTGTCATCACACCGGGCTCTTCCTTGCACATTTGAGTCCTTCCTCCATCCCCTTTCTCACTGTCTTTCTTCCCCCCCCCTTTTTTGGGAGATACTGGGATTTACCTAGGGCCTGTGCAAGGTACTGCATTCCCAGCTCTTTTTAATTTTTTTAATTTTACTAATCTATTTTTTTTTTTTGTACTGGGGATCAAACTTGGGACCTTGTGCTTGTGAGGCAGGCAGTGGAACTACTGAGCTAAATCTCCAGCCCATCTTATTTTTTGAGACAGGATCTCACAAAGTGTCTAAATTTCTCAGGCTGGGATGACAGGCACATGCCATCACACCTGGAAAACTGACTGACTTTCTTCATTTTTAAGACAAGGTCTCACTACATAGTTTAATCTGGCCTTGATCTCAAAGCAATCCTCCTGCCTCAGCCTCCCATGTACTGGGATTATAAGCATGTGCCACTATGCCCAGCTTTTCTTTGTTTTTGTTTTTGTTGTTTGAGACAGGGTCTCACTCTTTAGCTCTGGCTGGTCTTGAACTCACTATGTAGCCCAGGCTGACCTCAAACTCTCAGCGACCCTCCTGGCTCAGCCTCCGAGTGCTAGCCTTACAGGCATGTGCCACCACACCAGGCTCTGTCTTTTTTAACATTAAAAAAAATTCATTTTCCTTTATTTCTTTTCTTCATTTCCTTTTTGTGTGTGTGCTGGGATGGAAGCTAGGCCTCGCACATGTGAAACAAATGCTCCACCCCGAGACATTCCCAGCTCTTGCCTCATTCTTAACCCACACATTCCATTCGGACTCCAGCTCTTCCCGCTGGGAATATCCCATGTAGCTCACTCCAAGCGAGCAGACACCGTGTAAGTTTCCCCCCGGAGAAAGGCTGGCTGTCTCGTTATAAAAAGTCGAGGCATTCAGGACTCTAAAACTTGGAGCTGCCCAAGGAGAGCTGCCAGCCTTGTTTTGTCTTGACTTTGTTTAGGCTGTAACTATGTTTAGGCTCTGTTTATGCCACGAACCTTAGAGTCTGGACTCTTAAAAACAAAGTTTCACAAGAAGCGCGAAGGAAAGTCGGAGAAAGTTCGCTCTGCTGGCCTCACCATCAGGATTTCCCTCAGGCCTCACTCTCGGACCCCAGGATTTCCCATCCTGTGTCGGCTCCGCTTCCTAGAAATGCTCAGGCCGTCGCCGGAACAGCCCGCTGTGGAGGGCGCGGCAGTAGAAGGGTGCACTGCTTTGTTTACCTGCCAGCTCCCTTTGCCAACCCTGCACCTCCCCACCGAGGTCAGGGAGAGCGGGAAAGGGCGGGCGGTGACGGGAGGAAGAGGTCTGGCTGGGGGAAAAGGACAGCGGTGACACAGACGTGAGGGCCCATCTCAGGAGCCGGGTCTGATGCCCAGAACCAGCCCGGACAAAGCTTCCCCGCGGCTCGGCCCGTCTGGAGCTGCCCTCGCTCTCTCTGCGGCACGGGGAGGGCACAGCTAGGGAACAGATGTGATTCCAGCCTGGGGAAAGCAGCGAGAGTCGGGCAGGGGAGGCCTGAGGCAGAACAGACAACAAAGGGCACGCAGATGCAGAGGCAGAGGCAGAGCGAGCTGAGGGGGCCCGAGGACGCGCTCCGCAGACCTCAGGCAGATGGGGAGCAGGGACGCGGGCCAAGCACTTGGCAGCGCGAGCGGTGACCTCAGTGTGCGGCCGGCCGGGCCGGG